AAAAACATTAAAAAATATTATTTAAATATTAAAAATAATTATTTCTATTATAATTTATATGATATAATTTTTACTTGAGTGGTTTGACAAACAAAAATCAATCCAAATAAACTTTATAATATAAATTTATTTAATCATTTATAATAAAAAATTTTGAACCGGCCGGTTTTAAAAAACCCAAACCGGTTCGCCGGTTCACTGGTTGAACCGGCGGTTTTCGCCAAAACCGGCCGGTTTGAAGCGAAGCTGGTTTTCGGGTTGAACCGAACCGGCCGTCAGACCGGTTCACGGTTGAACCGGTCGAACCGGCCGGTTCGGTCCGGTTTTAAAAGCACTGAATTTAATATAAATTATTATTAATTTCTGTTATATTTTTATATATAATTTACACCTACAAATTATATATTAAATTTATATTATAAATTTATATTTATAAATTATTAAGGTTAGATCATTTATTATTAATAATTAATTAATTAATTAATTTTTAAAGTACATAAATAATAAATGAAGCATATAATTTATTTAACATTAATAGCTAAAAATAATACTAGTTACATCATAAAAAATTTATTTAAAAAATCTATTTTAAAATATATAGTGCATGTTGTAAACTTAAGAATTAAGAAATTCAACTTATTTAGGCTCACATCACTTAGGAAATTTCCTTTTGGTAATGCATATACTCTATATTATCTTTTGAGTTAGGATGGGATAAGACATAAAATGATGGAGCCATGTGAAATGCTTATTTCAAATTTATTTATTTAAAAATTAAGCATTTTCAATTTAAATTAATTTATTAAATTATATAAATTAATTAATATTTTAATCTTAATGTATTAAATTAATTCATTTAATTATTTAAATATTTCAAAATTTGAACCAACCAATTCAATGGAACCGGGACCGGTTAATCAATTGAACCGGCGGTTATGGCCGGCTCAGCCTGGCTTGATACAAAAATGGTTTTCAGGATGAATCGGTCTGGCCTTAAGACCGATTCAGTCCAATTTATAAAACCCTGGTTTTACAAGACATAATGTGAAACTAGTATGTACATGAATGGGTTGGAGTAGCTTTAGTGGAAGATAAGATTAGAGAGAATCATCTTATAGATTGATTGGTCACATAAATCATCGACCTTCCGATGACTCCGTTATGAGAGTAGATGTATTAGATATGGCCAACGCTAAGAAAGGTAGAAGTAGACCTAAAAAGACTTGGTTAGAAAGTATTAGAAAATACTTTTGTTTATTAGATTTAAATAAAAAATTGACTCTTAATCGGACACAATGGAGAAAAATGATTCATGTAGCCGACCCCACATAGAGGGATAAAGGTTCGATATTGTTGTTGTTGACATGTAAATAGTAAATTTCAACCATATGGGTTCTTATTATCAAAAGATACCTTCAAACCCCAAAACAATTTATGTTGGGATAAAATCTCGATGAATGCACTATATAAAAAATATCATAATAGGAGAGAACTCTATCTAAATCAATTGTACCCTAAAAAACAAGAAAATCTAAAAGAAATTACAAAATTTACAAATATCGGAGAAATAATTAGCCTTTCCAAGCTTAGGCAGTCAACCATCCAACACATCCTTCCTCCCTAACAATTTGTAAAGCATGAAAAATTGAAAGTTAGACCAAAGCTCACCAAGAACCAAGATCATGCCAAGTGTATCCATACGATCACTATTAAAATATCACGCAAGTAAAGATATGGCATATGCCCGCTTATCGGGCATTTTACTCCAAAATTGCATCATTATATTATGATTAAGGCCAAACTAAGATGTCCCCTGATGACTCAACCTATGAATTGTGAACTAAGGGTGTAAATGATTTAAGTTGAGCTTAAGTCAAAACTAACACAAGATCAGTTTGTCGATGAAACTCAAGCTTGAATCGAGCTCATATATTGAGCTCAAACAAAGTTAGTCAATCTAATGAAAAGCTTGAACTCAATTCATGAGGTTGAGGTTGGTGGAAAAGCATTGTGAGGACGTCAAGATGGGAGCATGTTAAGGAGGTATTGACAGTGGTGTGGAAGTCGTAATGGGAGCTTGTTGGAGAAGACATTAATAGGAATAACGACATTTGAAGAATAAAAGAAAGTCGCCATAAAACTAGTGAAGTTTAAAGAAGAAGAAGAAGAGCGAGTCACAAAGGAACAAACAATGCTTATTGACACTAACGACATTTATGTTAAGGAAGGTAATTCCACCCAATGCACTAAATCGAGCAGTTGAAAGCCCCTCTCAAGATTTAATGTAAAACAGGAGGAGAAACAATTAAATCGAGTCAACTCAAGAACCAACGAGTCAACCTCGTCAACCTGAAGCTCAAGCTCCAATAATATATGAGCTATAATCTAAGCTCACAACTCAATAAATTCAAATCACAAGCTTTCTAACAAGTCAAGTTTCAAGCCCACTTTACTTACTTACACCATTAATATGAACTATAAGGTGTGTTTGACATAGCATAAAGCCCTTCGTTAGCAAATTTCAGCTTAAAATTGACACTTCAGACAAACATCCACCCATGGCCTATGAGATCCCCTTGGACAATGCAATACATGGTAATTAATAAGGATCATTAAGTCAACCAAGATCAATTACATCTGCTTAATAAGTAGAAAAGTGTCCACAAAACCTAGTATGAAAAAAATCATAGGAGCTTGATCAGGTTGTCAGCATTCCCCCGCCAACTTCTCTATGCTAATGATGACATATTTCTCGTAATCTCTTCCCTAAACCAAATCATTGCTACAATAAGCTAAGTATTTAGAGCCTCTTGACTAGCCTTAATTGAAAATTCTCTCATGATTAAGAGAAGAAATTAACTATAAAGGCTCAAATCATGCTACAAAATACCCTCATAAAATGAGAACAAAATTTCTAAGTAGCGTCTTATCTAATATTCAAATTGTCTTCTAAAAATTTGAACTATAATCACCAATATAAAAGAGGTGGAAATTTTTAGAGCCCACACTTATAAATTATTGTAGACTTTACAAACTTTAAAGGATTTGGACAAATTTATCTACTCTAAGAAAGCAACTCGAAGGAGGCATGCTCATATTCTTCTTACATCTTGACAGAAATAGTTATAACAAACTTACCTAGATGTCACTAGCAGAATTTAAAATGGCAAATAAGTGGATAAACAACCTATAAGATGTGTTGTATGATTATGAAGCTACAAAAACGGTAACTAATAGACGCAAAGAACATTTTTCCATAAACAAGTACCAAAAAATATAAACAACAAAAGGTTTTTATCGTGACTAAAATAAGTTTGCAAGAATGTCATTAATCAACATGATTAACATACAGCATTGTAATGATTCCATTACCAAAAATAACACAAGAAAAGAGCAATATGATTTACCAAAAACTTGAAGGAGCCTTTGTGATTGTGTTCGATCTAATTGACGAGGAACTGAAGAAGGCTTCACTATCTAAGAAAACCAAGAAATTACAGCATTAATAAGGAGCAACAATTTGAATATAGCCAGCTGATACAACATTATTTTGCATGTATAACGCCTTTTAAAACTTTTTAATAACATTTACTTCCTTTGAGCAAGCTTTCAATGTTTTATTTACATCAAAATACAGCATTGTCATAATAAGTAGAAGATCTATCACAAAAACAATACAAAATAGAAATATGATGACCACAAATGACATGATAAAGTAATGGTTGGTTAACCAAGAAATTTACAAAATATCAAAAAGGTAAAGAAATTTTTAATAGGGCTAGATTTTCCCTTTGCACTTGTGTCACATTAATTCAACCTTCTATCCATATCGATATATCTTCCCTTCTTTGTTGTTCAGGCACAAACCACAAAAATATTTTTTATGCAACCTTGTCTTCAATAGGTGCTAGTGCCAAAACTATTCTAATATAATATTTTCCATCATCCTTCCTAATTTCACCACACGTTTATCTTAAAATTCATTCCTTTCAAAGTATTTCTATCTTCAAACCTAATTGGTTTATCATCATAAATTAATTATACATGCCACTTCAATAGGTGCCAGTGCCAATACTACTCTAATATAATATTTTCCATCATCCTTCCTAATTTTACCACACATTTATTTAAAATTTATTCCTTTCAAAGTATTTCTATCTTCAAACCTTATTGGTTTATCATCATCAATTAATTATACATGCCACTTCAATAGGTATTACCCAAGTTTTCGTTTTCTTTTTTACAATCTTGTCATAAATAGATGTCACTGCTGCAACTTTTCAAATTTAATTTTTTTGTGCTCTATCCTTCCTAGTTTTAACTATATATTTATCCCAAAATTTTCATTTCGAACACACAACATGATTGTAAGGGATTCCTATGTTGGACAACACAGTTGTATCCTTACAGTACAAAATGATATTTATTATCTCATAATTCAACCAATGTGAGGTTTGAGGAGGGGTTCATAAAAAGCAACATTGATACTATATAGCAGAGAGGTTATGGCCGTGATGATGGTGTTTATGCAGAGGATGGACTTGCTTTTCCTTCCAAAGATCTGGGAGGATTGTAGAAATGCTGGTGTAGTAGTTGAGGTGTGGCTATGCAAAGGTCTAGTAGGGTTTCTTTGGGACGCTGAGAGGTACAAGGTATTTAAGAATTTTTTTTAAGAAGAATTGTCCTTTATGTGGGCTCGGACATGGTATTGGAGTGACTTGGCTGAGAAGAGAGATGATCTTACGGCTACGAGTGACAGAAAATATGTTTTGGACTTGTAGTAGGGTTTAGAAAAAGGGTAGAGTTTGGTATGAGGCAAAATAAAAAGCTTAAAGTATTTAAGGTTTAGGAATATTAAGGAGACAAAAGTTTGCACGGGCTTGTGGATTTATTTTTGGCATTTAAAAAATAGGGGAGATGTAGAATTGAGGTTAATAAGAAGAAAATAACAAAATAAAATCATTACAAAAATATTTCAGGTTATAGCCATTAAGCACAAAAATATCATATGGGAGAAGGCCTCCAATTAATTTTCCAAGTCAAAAATAATTCATTAAAGCATAAAAGGAAACATGCGGTACAATAAGCTAGAAAAAATTTAAAACCAAAGAAAGAGTAGGGGGGTCGGTAGCTTGATCATGCTTAGCTGAAACAAAATGAGCTTACAACCATGTTTTTCGAGGATTTTGACTTGTAATTTGTAAAGTGGATAGTGCCATAAGCCATGCATTCTTTTGTGGAACTAAATTCAATTTAAACTTGAGGTGGCCACCATCATCCATTTAAATTTAAAAATACATGAGCTATTTGAATAAAAATTTCAAAAATAACTATGCAAAGTGGTGGGGATTGGATTGGGATATTGTGACTAGCCTTAACGAACTTACGATGCTCTTATAATGTGATGGAGATGGCCATCCATTCAAGTAAGGAATTGAAATCCAAAATTGCATAATATCCTTATGCATCTTGAAAGCAAAAACAGCAAAATAGAGAAGAAGAAATGCAGTAACACAAATATAGGGGCTAATTTTTTATTACTCGTTAAACTAATCACGAAATATACAATTGATCTACTATTCGAGAGGTAGATCGGCTCTCCCACAAACCCTAGCCACCGCTAGGAAACTCACACTAACAAGAGAAAAATAAACTCAGCATACATAACATGAAAACCCTAGACATAACTCTTCCTTAACTAGCCCTAACACAATTAAAACCTTCCTAAAATAGTAAAAACTTCCGCAATTAAAACCTTCCACAATTAAAACCTTCCAAAATTAAAACATTCCACAATAAAAACCTTTCTAAAATATTAAAATCTTCCACAATTAAAACCTTCCTAAATAGCTCCCCATTGATTCCTTACATAATAAATAATAGCTCTCTGCTGCTGTGGGATCCCCTGAGTATATACTTCCCCCCCCCCCCCCCCACACACCAACACAAAAGACCACGCACGTGTCTCGAAGGTGTAAATATGAAATTGTCTCATAAATCATCTATTTCAACAACAAAATTTGCTTCATGTCGAGAACCACTTAGCACATGATCAAGTTCTATATCATTCATTATTTGCTTGTGCTTCACTTTAGAGAATATGTCATCTTTCAAGAGTTTAACATCTTTGTCAATGCCTATAACCCGATCTTGTGCTTCTATTTGACTTCCACGCTTAAACTTTTCATGTTTCATCATCCACATTGGTACCAGAAACAACTCCTTCCTCTAGAAGTCCTTTAATATCGTCTACTACTTTCTGTAACACCTTAACCTTTGCGCGCAACTTTTTAGCTCCAAGATTCTAATTGATGCTCTTAGACTACTTGAGCTGTGATGCTTGCCTCGTACTTGACTGAAATTTTTAGGTTGATTTCTCTTATTATTCATAATGTGAAGATTTATCAATCAAAAGGTGCGTTCCACCAGAGATGCAATCTCATTTGTCAAAGAAAAAAGGGGAGCATAAGCATTCAATTATGCCTTCAGCCCCTTACTTTCTTTTACAAACACTTCAACTTTTTCTTTTAAATCTTCTTGGCATTTTCGCAAGCAATTTCTTCAACTGGAAACTTCATTTGCATAATATCAGTTGTCCCGAGGCCCTTAAGTATCTGCATCAACCTAAAAAATTTCTCCTTAAATATCAATTCCATGAATGATGAAACATGAAGGTCATGTAGGAACTATGCAGCTTCTGCTTTGTTGGATCTACATTCGTCAATTGATACTAAGAGTTCATATGCCAAGTTGGATTACCGGGTTCTATGTGCTCCACTCCATGCAATTCATAAAATTCCTCTTCCAACATTTAACTGGGTTTTCGAAAGCACAAAATCTCGCAGAAATTTTCTTCTATTGATCACCTGCATACATTCATCAGGAGTAAGAGGCAGTTTTGAGTTTTGGATGCCTTGAAACTTGCCTGAATTGGACAGCTCAATGTATCTTTGTTCTAAAAGTTTCCCACCTATCGCTTTTTCTATGTTGAGATTTTCAAGGAATTTCTTGCTTATTGGATTTTATTTTTAAAAAGAATTATGTGGGTTCGGCACTCCTTAAGATGCATGTTTTCAGCTTCTAGAGCTCTCATGCTTTTATTAATCACTCTGATCTCCTGGCCTAGATCATTCGTGATCCTATAAAGATAGTTCACATTACTAATTAACCACTGAGAAGATTTTTCAGTAATGCAACTCCTGAAAAATTAATGGGAGGAGCTCCTGAGCAATAGCTTCTTCAAGGATATCATCATTTTCCTATTCGCAGCTTCATTTTCCTTGAGCAAGTTCAAGATTTCACTCTGAGATATAAGACAAGCTTCCTGCAAATCCGATAATCTGCCACACATTCTCTCCAATCCTACATTTAGCATTTCCTCACGTTGATTGCCAACATTAATATCCTTTTGCAACTGCTTATTTATCTCCATTACTTCGTGATATTTTCTTTGGAGGATAAAAATTTCTTGATTTCTCTAAAAAGATTCTTGCTCAAGCACTTTATTTTGTGCTCTAAGCTCCACCAATATCAATGCAAGTTGCTCTAAAAGTGTGAAAGAAGATGAATTTTCAAGTTGAAAATGATGGATTCCACCGTTGGTAACTGGAACAATAGCCTGCAACTCTGCAATTTTATTTGAAATCATCTGCAACATATTATCATAACAATCATTTGAAATCTCATAGTCCTTGGCATCGTATGACTCACAAATCTTCTTAGTGTCATATGTTTTCATCATTACATGAATCCGTTCCAAAAGTTTCACATTATGGTCCGACTATGTAATTAGCTTCCTCGCTTGAGTGGTCCATTCCTGTTTGAGTTCAAAAAAGGAATTTTCTGCATGCTTCAATTTCTCCATGTACTTTCTGCAATCTTTTGAGAGAAACATATTCTTTTCAGTCAATTCAACCAAACACTGCTTCAGGATGAAATTATCAATCTCAATGTTTACTACTTTATAATGCTCCTCCTCAAGCTCATGTTTTGTAACTTGAATTTGTTTTTCAGGATTTTAATTTGATTAGTCGAAATAATCAATTGACTGCTAAAGAAACTGATATCATTTTCATCCTCTAGTTTCCTTATCGGAATGGACAATACAGTTCTTACATATCATGATCTGCTAGATCCATCTCGTTTATAATCTCATCATTGCCTTCTAAGACCACAAATCAATTCTCCAGACATTAAAGATGCAAAGCAACTCTTTCCACCTGAATTTCATCCTTTGAATTTTCCAGCCTAATCAATTCGATGTCAACCTTGTCCTTTGAGAACTCTGTATTAGCTGTATTCTGTGTTTCAGCCTCAACATTTTCATCTACAAAAATACCCATACCAGGAGAAAACAAAGGTGCTTCCATTGGTTTTCTTTCATTCTCAAACGTTGACTTGATTAGAGTGTCTTTCCTATCTTCGTTTTTGGATTCTAAAAACGCAAGTTCTTTGGATGTGGATGTCTCCGTAGAATC